AAAGGAAATTAAAATAATATTACTAATAATATAATATAATATAATATTAGTCTGCAGCACAGACCAACTGATCAGTTGAGATGCATTCTTTGCCCAAACCCTTCATGCAGCTGCTTTTCTCTGCAGCCGCCAGCTCATGGAGGCAGGAACCACACATCTAATTCAGCATGGGATAAATCACAAGCACTGTGAGCGCTACCAGGAAACCCCACGTAATCTTATATCTCTCCCCTGGGCCCCTCCAATGTGCCAGGGTGGAAAGCAGCAGCTCTTACAACTGCTAGCACAAGTCTGAGCAATACTTACAGCTGATTGTAATTCCAAGCTCTACACCCCTTTTCTTGGGCAATTTAACGTGGAAAGTACCGCTGCTGGGTATGACAGACTCTATAAAACCAAAAACAGACGAAAAAGAAAATAGGAGAAAAGAGAGAGTTTTCAGTTGCATGGACGGTTTCTTTGGAACCAAGAAAAACAAGCCTGTAAAACTCAGCTTTACTGGTTCAAATAAGGCTGTTATTCAAGGCCCTGTGGACTTCAGGTTAAAATTTGGATTCTCATTAAAAATACATGCTCTGAACATCAAGAGAAATGCTCACATCATGCTGTATTTCAAGACTGAGGCAGTTCTGTCAAGATAAAAGGAAGAAAACTTTTTTTTTTTTTTTTAATACAAAGCTGCACTTTAGCCCCAGCCAATAGCTTTGTCTCCTTCCTTGCTTCAAGGCCATAAATTAATATAAATATTATACATATTAATGGCAAATATTTAAAGTGCAGGTGGCCCTTCATCTACTCCTTAGGCTTATCTCGGTGCCAAGTGGTGAGCACAAGGCATTTATGAAAAGATCAGAAGAAGGACCCTCCATCTCACTGCACATTAGAGAACAATGAGAAATGGAAAAGGTCCTCACAGGGTCTTCTTGCTCTTCCCTCTGAGCTCTAGCAAAAAACTCATGTATTTTTGGGAATACACTCCCTCCTACAGGTTAGGAAAGGTACTGGCAGAGTCCTGCTGGTAGTGAGGAGCAGCAATCCTTTGGCACATACCTGCGACATCAAATTCAATCTCGAGCACCACTTTGTTCGTGAGCGCGGCATCACGTAAAAGCTGATTAGCTTCCTCCATAGTCCCATCCTCAGTCGCAATGCCATTGATAGAAAGGACTCTGTCTCCTACTTGCAGCAGCCCACACCTGCAGTCCACATTGGGAAAAGATGAGAGTGATAAATGCAAGAGCACATGCCCTCCTACCTTATCTAACAGTATATAGCTCTTTCCGTGGGCCTGCGCCCTCTGAAACTCAAACTAATGGCACTGAAAATTGTACGAGTCCTCTGCTTAATACATGGCTACTACTGAAGCTACAAGCCAATGAACTCACTGAAATGTCTCAGCAAACTGGATAATCATTTATCTCTTGTAATTGCATTTCTGGAAGCCAAATGTACATTGATACTGTTTAACTACCTTGAAAGGCCAATATTATTCCGATGTGATATCCCACCCATATAACCACAACTGGCACTTTGGGGTTTTTGGTTTAGACCCACTTTCATCAGCAGGTTATTTTACTTTGGAAGAAAAACGATGGCAAGGCTATGTCAGAGATATACTGCTACTGCATGGTTTGTCCCTTGGGACCCCTCTGTATTTATAAGCAAGTTTTTTTTCACACATGAACCACGACATTCAATATTCACCCTCCCTTCTTTCTTTCTTTTTTGTTGTTTTTTTTTTTTTTTTTTTTAAATATACTGTAACACCAGCAAGACAATCCTCCACCTTACTGAGCTGGCCCATGGCTCTACAAAATAAAAAGTGTAGTGTTCCCTGTAACTGGCCATGGGCAACTACTCATCTTCCTTCTCTTCCACACCCTTCATCAGTTGTTTGCTATTAACCACATCTTTTCAGATTATCCACTCATGACCTGTCTATAAGGCTGCCTACTTGAGCAGAGCTTGGGAAAGCTTTCCTCTTTCATCATTAATATAAACTACAGAGTAGTCTCCAAAATAGGTTGAGGGTTCACCTCTACATTTGGAGTTATTTTACCACTAAGATTTCACAGAAGGCATCAGCTATCCTGTTTTGAGCCTTCTCCAGAGAATCTTTATTCCCCTGCTCTTTAACAATCAAGCACATCCTTTGCCCTCTCCTTTCTAGATGTCAACTTCCAGTGATATTTCACGGAAGACAGCTTGGTTTTTGCTAATCCTTCCAGCCACTCTTCATCACTCACACCCAATTCAATTGTAAGAAAACATGGTATGCAGCTTCTGGGCACACAAAGATAACATCAAAGGCAACAGACACTGGCTGTATTTATTATTCACCTCCAAACAACAGGACATATATGAAAGGCCAGGTTTATCAAGAAAAAATGCGCACATCCAAATTCAAGGAAAATGCACAAGCACAACAGTTTTTGCCGGTGTCCATCAAAAGTTGAGATACGAGCAAGTTTGGAGAGAGCCTAGGGAGGTTATTTTACTGGTAGGAAGGTATTAAACTTGCAGTATATTTACACTGCTGCCTGAGTTCCTGCCACCCATGGAAAAACGCTGGTTATTTTATGAGATGTAAGTTCAGAATTGTTTGTTCAAAGACACTTGGATTAGGACAGACAACTCTATGCTGTATAAATGAATCCACCCTTGCGAATAAATTACATCAGGTTTAATTACAGTCCTTTACTGGACTTGTGGATATGCAGCCACATAGATGTGCTTAGAAGTATCAGCCTACAAATATGAAGATGGCAAGGAGTACAAGAGAGACGCCTTCTCTAGCACTGAGAGCTCTCTCGCTATAGCCAGAATACACCTTTCAGTAAGGAGGGATCAATGTCGGCATCACACAGCCATCACTTTGTCATTTCAAGGTCGCACAAGGACACAATCCATTTTGGCACCGCTGTTTCAGCTGCAACAGCTGCGAGATCCCAGGATACTTTTACTCAGCACCAAAGCAAACGTTTGCCACCTTTTCCACCAGAGATGCCTTCTCACAAAACAACTGTTTCTTGTGTTTCTTCACTCAAAGTAGATTTCCCTGACTGTTTTACAGCCAATACCTCTGTCAGGTCGGAAGTATTTTATTTCTTTTACTATTAGCTTCAGTCAATCATGGTTGTTTAAGCCCCAGTCTTGCAGGCTTATAAAAGTTTGTGGAGTGAAGCCACAACCTTCTGGCTCCCTCCATGAGGGCAAGGAGACCCAATGTGCTTCGATAACTCTTCAGAACAATTCCAGAGACGCCAGCTTCCAACTGTCATGTGCTCTTGCACTGGGAGCAGGGCCCTGGGAGCCAAGGCTCCTGCAGACCTCTCCTTGGCTCTGCTGTGGGATCCTACATGGACTTTTTGGATGGCTTTCCCAAAGAGAGGTCATTTGTCTCAGAGATGCAGGGTCTAACATCAGAGCTCACAAAGTGCTTTGAGATCATGGGAGGAGAAGTGCTTTAAAATCAGAAAGAACAAGAGTACAGGCATCTCCCAGAGTGAAAGACAGCCTTTTGGATGTGTTGGAGTCCATGATGGGAATGTCTCCCTGGGGTTGCAGAGATTGATGGGAATGTCTCCCTGGGGTTGCAGAGATTTGTACTTTGTCATGACTCATTTCTTGGGCTCAAAGACAGCAACAGAGCAGCGGAGACGTCTTGCTAGATGCAGAGCATTGCAAATTCAAGCCTCAGGCAGGATATGCACTAAAGATCTCACCCAGTATCAACAGCATCTGCATGGTCACTCCAGCTGTGGGGTGAGTGGCAGCAGCTGTGACCATAGCCATACCACTGACTGCAGAAACCAATCCGTCATGCCCTTGCACGCCCCCAAGTTGGCCTGCACAGGTGAGACGTGCACATCTGTGTATGTCTGTACATCTGTGTCTGCACCTCAGTGGGTGGGTCCCAGCCCCCAAAAGATCAAAGCTTTACTGACAGCTTCACACAGCTGCTAAACTTTCCTTTTGCAAACTACTCATACTCAAAAGCCAGAAACACAATGATCAAAAAACTGTATCTGAGCAGAGCTAGGAAACACATAACTCAGCAGGAAGCATTGATTTTGGATACCGCGATGGAGAAGCCAGATACTCTCCCACTGCTGTCAATGACAACTGGGGGAGGAAGGACACAAAAGCTGCGTGTTTCAAGGCAGCCAAGAGGGGACATCAGGCATCTTCCTATTCTACCCTCCCTGCTGATAACAGGGGCTGAATCACTGTCTCATTTGGAGCCCAAAGGCTTCATCTTGCACCCAGGAAACAAAACAACAGGTGGGGAGGGAGGTCTATTAGAGGCTATTGGCTGTAAACCAAATCACAAGTCAGGGAGGTGAGAACTTTTGCTTCAAACTGCCTGCCACAAGCTAGTACAAACCAGATAATAAATGTGAGGCAGCCCAACCTCCCTGAAAAGAGGGTGATGCCATCCTCCTCCCTGGTAGCACTCAAATTTGCTAGACATCCAAGAGGCAGCTCCTCCATAGCAAGGCAGATGGGTGAAGTAATTGTGGGTCATGCCCTTGCGCAACAGCACATTCAGATTCACAGGTCTTGCGCAGGAGTGTGTGAATATGCAGGACAGACCCAGGCTGCTGAGCCTGATCCCTGTATCCCCACCACTCAAACTTTTTTGCAAAGGGCAACAACTGTAGCACAAGAAAGAGCATAGCCCAGCCTCAGCCAAGAGCCTGGCTTGGTAAAGGGGAGAAAAATGGCTCTAATGTCTTGGGTTGCAGTTATAGCAGAACCTCTCAAGGGCAGGGAATAAGGTATCTAGGAAGGATGGAGCAAACAAGTTCTGTGGGATAGCAAGAAACAAAAAGTGAAGTGAAAACATAAAGCTGTCTTTTTCACCTCACTGCAAACCCAGTGCACTTATCTCTTCAAGATGCACAGGAAAAGACAGTGTTTTCCTGCCAGCTAGGAAGAGCAGCGCAGTCTAGGAAAGGAAGAAATACACAGCAGAGGCTTAATCCCCAAATCCAATCTAGGCTGCAAACACAGAGAGGATTGCTCCCTGTCGCCAGAAAGTGGCAGCCAGGAGAGCGTGAATCCTGCTGGGTGGGCAGCCGAGAGGGAGAGCAGCGTGTGTGACACATTAAAGCCAAGCAAGACTGCACTGCTAGTCTTTGCTTTCACTCCAGGCTTGGCAAAAGCCTAAACCAAAGCCAAGCGGATTGCAGCATACCTCGCTCCTCCCCTGGGACAGCAGGCTTTGTTGCTGCCTGCCTTTTATAAAAGGAGTTTGGTGCTTTGCAATGTGAGCCAAATTCACCCTGGTAATAGAGAATTAAAAAACCAAAATACCATCACTTTCCTTTTTAAACCCTGTTTGGAAACAAACAAACAAATGGCATAAAAGGCTTTTGAAATGTCTCTTAACCCATATCACTCAGGACAACTCTTTTTCCTGTGCCAGCCCCTTATCGCCGTCCTCCCACAGACAGAAGTGCCAGGCACTTGTGCTCCTCCCTGCCTCTGCATCAGCTGCCTGGAGAAGGTACCACACAGAGACCGCTCTGCACAGCAAGGACTTGTATTATCCTTTTGCAGGTGCTTTCCCTGACATATGACTCCCCCGTGTGCTCTTTTCCCAGGCTGGGCTGGGGACACCAAACCATCAGCACATGCTGATGAGGCCATTGGAGACTTCTCCTCCCAAGGAAGTCTCTGCAGCAGGCGCTGAGCACTGCCACATCATTGCACCTCAGGCACCCCTAGGCAGGAGGGAAATCACAGGCAGGAAGAGAAATGAGTATGGGGGCATAAGTGCCAGCTTGCTCACCCCTCATGATTCCATCTGCCTACGAAACCAGCTCTCCTTTCTGCCCCACAAGAGCTCAAGCCATGCTGGGACCCGGTCCATTTAGTACAAACAACCTTGCTAGAGGGTATCTACATCGTAGTGCACAGACACTCGAGCAAACTTTAAATCCAGCCAGCAAGGGTATTGGAAAAAGTTTAGCCAGAGCAGCCAGAGCTCCTGAGCTGAGGCTTGGCCGCTGGAGGAGTCATTGTTCCTGGTATTCCCGGGGGGTGACACACAGCATTCTGCTCTTTTCCCAGCATTATAGAGCCAAAAGCAAGAGTGGTTAAATGCAGCGCCTACCTGCTCCTCAACCAGAGCCCTCCTCTGCAGTTCAAAACCTCACTTTTAGGCCAATTTATATAGCTGGGCTCTGCTACAATGAAACCAGGCAGAAAACACTTTGCTGGGCCCACTTGTTTAGATCTTTGCCCTTTCTGCACGCAGACAAAAGCTTTATCTTTCAAAGAGGAAGGAAAAAAAAAAAAAAGGAATGGGAATGGCTCTCTCACACAGACACACGCTCCCTTCCTCCTCCTCCCAGAACAGCCGCAGCCTGGTGCCAAGACGTTCACCTGGGATGCGAGGGAGGCCGCGGTCAGCCGACGAGTGCAGAAATGGCAGTGACAGTAAACCATGCCCAGTGAAGAATGGGAGATATTACAAGGATGATAGTAAATATCTAAATGAGCCTCTGAGGAGAGAAAACAAACCAAACCATGAAATGTTCAGCAGCAGCACCATCAGCATCCAAGGGCAAGGTCTCTAACCTCTCTGCCGGGCTGTCAGGCTCAATAAAACGGACGAGAGGTGGGGAAGACAGGGTTTCAGTAGCAAAGATGCCTCCCTGGAGCTGAAGTCCGAAGCCATTCAAAGGGTCTCCCCTGAGCACCACCTCTGTTGTCTCCGTGTGGACTATCTGCCCGCCAGGACCCACCGTGCTGGAGGCCAGTGACACTGAGAGGAGGAGAGAGGCAGAAGGTCAGGGTAGCCACCGCTGATGTGGCAGGTCCGGTCACAGACCTCAGTCTAGCAGTGGTGGGGACAGTGACCAAGGATGAGGGAGGCACTGACAGTGCTGAGATGAGCGGTCCTACCCCGGCTAACAGTCAACAACAATAAGGACAATAAGGACAGCAAGGCAAGCATGCACACCCCGTCCAACCCAGCCTACCACCACTCTTACGTGAGCTCTTGTGCTCCTTCTTCTTCTGCCTCCTCCTCAGCATGGTGGTGCGGGGGCTCATGGGGTGGGAGCTGCGAGGTAGTGTGTTTGAGTTCTGGCAGGGGAAGCCCTGCGCATTCATGGTGGGAGACGAGAAGGTGGCAGCCACCAGAGCTGGGGAAATACAGAGTGTATTAAGGATGTGTGCAGAGAAGTGCAGCAGTGGGTTAATCTAATGGGTGTTCATCAAACACCCAATGTGTTTGGACTAGCTCCTTCTTCCCAGTTCCAGGGCTCAAGATTGAGGTGAGAACCTTGTCCTGGGCTTGCAGCTCCAGAAGAGCTGTGAGAGTGGGCTTGGGCTCAAGATGGACATTGCTGTCTGGTGTGCAGTGGCTCCAGTGACTGGGCTGTCTGTCACTGCAGCACCCAGGCCACCAAGTGAGAAGTGCATCATGGATGCAGGGCAGCCAACAGCAGGTTGGCACAATGGCACTAACAAACCTTAAATACGTAGAAAGAGAAACCACAGCTTGAACTTGAGCTGCTGAGCAACTGGGCTGTCCTGTTTGCTTCCCAACACACAGAGCAACATTTCCTCCCTATCTTACTGTCATAAGACAAGAAACCTGGGACTGAACAGAGCCTGCTTCCTGCAAGAGGTGGGCTTACAGACAGATTTTGAACCAGCTGTAATCCCACTGCTAACATGTGTGGCACCAGGGCTGAGCAGGATGTGTTGATGTACCACGCTCCTACACACCACCAGAGCCTGCTCTCCTTGTCCCATAGCAACTCATTTTTGCCCTTGCCCATATGAAACCAGGCACTGGGGTGGGGGGTTAGAGGATGGGAGCACAGGTCTGCCCAGCACACCGCTGTCACTGTAGTTACCAGATCTGCACGTGCTGGGCTGCAGATACTGATTTTGCACCTCAGCACTGGACCTGTGAAAACAGTGCAGATGACCAAGGAGGAAACAACTGACACCTGTGGCTATGGAATTGGATATTACAGAAATGGAGGGGCACAACATGAATGAACACATGCAGGGATGGGGGCAACACCGTGCGCTGGGGTTACATTTGCAGTAATCCTGTCCGGACGTCTGGTTCCATGTGGGTGTCTTGCAGTGCCCGGGGTGGTGGGTATGACAGTAGTTGACACAGGGGTCCCAGCAGTGGTGGTGGTCGCTCTTCTGCACCTTGACTGATGGCACCCAGGGGAGCAGAAATCACCGCAGGCAGGGAGGAGAAGAGAGAGAAAGAAAAGGTAAGAAGCATAAGCCAGGAGATTGTCGAAAAGAGCCTCGTACTAGCTCTGAACAAGTCAGAACCCAGCCACAGTGTGTCAAGCCCCAGCAGCAAAAACGCATCCCCACGTAACCTCATGACACTTGATGCAAAGTGGCAGAAATCCACCCCTTCCCCATAAAAAACTCCACATCCAGAGCCAACGGCCTGACAAAGCTGTGCTGGCAGCCCACAGATGTCATTACCATTTGCAGTCTGTTGTGCGACATGCAGAAGCTCCCTCCAGCCACAAGTTTCCCGCAGAGGCCATCGGTATTATCCGACAGCACTGGGGAAACCTCCTTGTGCTGTTTCCCACCTTGCTGCCACAGCTGCCCTCCCAGGGACAAGGCACAACGCCTTCCGCACGTGCCAAGGACTGCTTTGAGCACTTTGCTTGGCTTCAGCGTTTGGTTGTTTAGTGGCTGCTCTTGGCCAGGAATCCATTGCAGGGTTCACATATGGATGAAAGAGAGGAGTAGCGGAGGGCCACCTCCAGCTCACCGGAACAAAAGGGATTTTATACATCACTGGTTAAAGGCAATTACAGAGGGCAACTGACACAGGAAGAGATGCCAATACTGTGGCAAACAGTAAAGTAAAACATGGCACCAACATGGCAGACTCTATTCAAGGCCACACAGCTGATTTAGCTTCAACCCCGCCCAGCACATGTTGGCAGAAATCTGTTGCAGCATGACATCCATCATCTGGAATTCCCTTGTCCAGGAACTCTGGCTTTGCAACATCAGGTCACGATGCCACAGGTCTCCTCTGGAGTGCCTCAAACATTCCGTCAGGCACAGGTCCCTTGTCCGTTCTCATGGACGCTCCTTTTGCCCCTGGGCAACACAGGGTCAGTTTGGTTTTGCTTGCCCAGCACCACTGGGTTTTCTCTCTCAAATCTCTGCACCATGCTGTCTGGATCTATTTTCTTCCGAGAGGAATTGCTGGCTAGCGAGCAAGATTGCAAGTGTCTCTTTCATTCAGCTAAGCATGAACAGCATCCCACAGCAGAGCGTTGCTGGAACCATGAGTTATCACAGAGCTCTTAACCTTGCAACCACTTGCACTGACTGGCAACCACCTTTCCAGGATGAGATCTCCTCCAGGCTTTGTGTCCTCCAAGTAGGCAGAAAAACCACCAGCGCTGGTGCTACCAGCACTTTCTGAGGGTACAAACCTGGGACAGGGACTCTATTTAGTGAGTCCATCCAGAGATCTCATCTGAAGGTCATCTTGTTAGTGCCTTTAACAGTGGACAACCATTTTGTGTGCATGCATCACAGGCATCAAATGATTTAGGTCAGGTTTTCCAACCAATATTGTGATTATATTCAGTCTTTGCTAAACATTTAGTGAGTTTAGCACTTAGTCCATCAAGCTCTTAAAAAATACACTTCCAGCTCTGAGCTTTCTATTTTGTGGATTCAAAAGTAAATTCAGAGCCAGACAGCTTTTAAAAACAAAAATCAAATTAATAAGTGTAGCTATATCTAGACAAAAAGGAAAGTTTTTAATAAAATTAAACACTTTGAACCTGCAGGACAGAGCTTATGGGCATATATACAAAATCATTTAATCCATTTATAGTAATTAACACTCTCCCATTTGTCTATAAATTCTTAGCTCATATCTGACAACAAAAAAAATTGCCTTTGAAACTCAGCTATCAGTGCATTGGGGAAGAGAAGAGATTTTGGACAAGTCTATGATAAAAGCCTACAACAGTCTTCCCCAAGCTTTCGAACATCATCCCTGCCTGAGGAAACCCATCCATCCCAGCACTCCTCCTGGGCACCATCCGCTCCCGTTGATCTTGTGAGCAGGGCATAATCCTCACACAAATTCTCCAAATGACCCCAGAGCCACAGAAAATGCAAACTCAGTTTGACAAATCCTGTGCTTCAGCATTAGACTGTATTTTTGCATGGCAGCTGCAGCTTCAGATCCCTCTCCACCTCCTCAATAACTGAATTTTGATTGCACGAGGAGCCACATTTAAAAAATATAACAGGCCCCATGCAGGCACACACTGGAAGGACTCAGTAATGCAAGTGCTGAACAGGGATGCGTCTGCATGGTCTCCTCTCCTCAGCTGCTTTCTCCGGGCTTCATTCTCTTGCCAACCATAACTGGTTTTGCATGGCCCATTTTTCCTTACTGCCCTGTTTGTTTCCCTAAACTCAGAAAAAGCAGCCTATAGAGTTGGCACTCAGCATCTGGAGCAGAAAGCAGCATCTCTCCTAGATCCAAATGCAGTTTGTCAACTTTGGTGTGGTTCCTCAGCTGCTCACCATGGGCTGCATGGTGCCGTGGCTGGTTGCGCCACTAAGGATCACTGCTTTGTGAGCTGCTCCTCTTGCCCAAAGCACTTTTCTTCCTGTCCCCACCACCTACCTTTCCCATCCCCATCAGCAATGGTGAAGATTCAAGCCCAAGTACTGGTCTCCAACCACACACCTCTGCCTCCTAACAGCCATGTGCATGAGCAGCATCCTTCCTTATGATCCTTCACGTGTTAAAGAGTTTAATCAAAAGTGGGAACAATTGTTATATTCCTTTTTTTTCATATTCATGTGTTGCAATTATTCTCCCAAGTTTGCGTTCTGTATTTCTGCCACAGCAAACTGATCTGATGTATGGAGCTTTGGGTAAAAAGGCTCTGAACACACCAAGCTGTCCTTCCACAGATCCTCCTCCTCCTGAGCTGCTACTGAATGTATATATTCTGAAATGAGATTAGAACGAGGGCACTAATGGAAGGAAGAGAATAGTTCACTTTAACAGCCATTGAAAAAGGATTATAGCTTTCCATTCTTTCTTGGGCACAAAGGTCAAGTCATCCATCCCCTTTGTTAAAATGCTTTAATTCTGCACAAATTGGACTGGACAGGTAAGAGATTTATTTCTAGACATGGAGATGTTATTAGATTTTATGTTTCACCACATCATGTTAAAGAAGACAGCACAGATATTTTCTCCCTTTCCCCAAACCATCCTAGAAGAGAATGGAAAGAAGAGCTGTGCCTGGGGCTACTGTGCACCAATATTATTAAAATGCATGTTCCTGAGGGACAAGCGATTGAAAATGGTTACAAAAGGGGCTGGTACTGAATAGTCATGCCTGAAACACCTGAATTACAAGACCACCAGTATGAACTGTAACAAAACTTCAGGCAAGAGTTGCAACAAATCTACTTTTACTGTACTGAGGCTATGTTCACGATGAAGTTTATATGAGAGCCTGAGTCAGCCTCTCATGTGGAAGGAAAAACTAAAGGTGGGCGACAAAGATGCTCATCAGGGTGAATTCCTAATGATGTTTACAGGCATTTTGGGCTTGATTTCACTGGAGATAGAATTTTTTTCCCAGTATCCCTTTAGTGGGAGGTGATGGAAAGCAGCAGCTACAGATGCATTCAGTCTACCCCTGGCTGCTCAGACACAGTGGCCATTCAAACAGGCTGGTCCAGAAGGTGAACACTTGTGTTACAGCTTTGTTTCCTGAGGAAGTCCAGCAGGATCCTGCCTAGCTACTGACATGTCCTTTATAAAGCCTTACCAGGCATCAGCAAATAAAAACGGAGCTTGGAAATAGATTTGCCAGCACCAAGGTTGTTTTCCTCCCTCTCAATTAAAGTCTCTTATCTGAGGTACTAAGGAAGCGGCTTGCACAGCACTCGGCACTGCAAAACCCTGGGATTCCCAGCTCCAATTTCCCCATTCAAGCACAGATGTTACCTTTTTTTCCTATTCACATCCTTGAAGAACGTCATCTAATCACATGCATTTCATCAAAACATCCTTTTTTTTCCTCCACAGATGTCTCTCTTTGGAGTCTGTTGCTGGCATTCAAAAGCAGCAAGAAGCCAAGCCGGAACCTTAAGTGAGTTTTGAGGGCAACCAACAGTGTTTGCACAGAGGACACACCTGTTTCTGGAGGCTTCAAAGGCAGCCTGCTTTGGTGAACAGGTAATATCTCCAGCTTGACATTTTCCGAAGTGGCAGCTAAGAGCTGAGTTGCCTCTAATAAGGAGCAGTGCTCTGTGCTTGTGCCATCAATGGAGAGAATATGGTCGCCAACATGCAATGCGCCACATCTGCAAAGGAAACAGCAAGAGAGGTAATTATATACATGGCCAAAATCCATGTCTTTACAGTTGGGAGTAGAAACATACAAAATCCAACTGTGAATTATTGTGTGAATTCATGTGAATTTTTTTTCCTATTTCATTTTTTTTTACTTCCAATTTGAACCTTAGGGTCAAGTGTTGCCCCAAATACCAACTAAGACGGTTCATGCTTGAGTCAGTGCTGCTGGTGGCTTAGGAAAGGTCTTCTAAGTTTTTACTAGTGCCCACTCATAGCTAGTCTGGACAACTGAGGGCTCACCCAGCACTGCAGTTAAGTCCTACAAGCCAGCAGTTCAGCTCAGCAACACAACTAACCACAGGTAGGGCTGCATCACGGTCTGTCTTTCTGTATCCCCATGTAAAGGGTGACTAGCTGACTTGCCCATCACGAAAAGGCTCTAGCCAGAAGTCTCCAGAATAGGTGTTTGCCATTCCACAGCTCCAGGGCAGTCAGATCTGAGGTTTTTAAAACAGAGCTCAGCTTTCACATGCACTGAGTTACATTCATTCCTGGTGAGGAGGGTCCACTGGTGTTGGGTCAGATATTTTTAGCACACTCAGTGCTAAGAACATGTGGACACGGCCATTTCAAGGTGAGGCAGGGAAGAATGGTATATAACTAACAAGGGGACAAAAAAGCAGTGGAGAAAGGAAAAGCAGAGCTAGGAGCAGACTGTTCAGATCTGTACCTGTCCACCACGCTGGCCGGCTTGATCTTGTCGATGACAATGACCTGCTTGTTCCGGTGCGTGGTTGTCGTCAGTGTGATTCCTAGTGTAGACCCTGGAGTCTTTGCTATTTCAACTAGTAAAGGACCTGAAGCATTTGCTACAGTATCTGCAAAACAAGAGAGCATCTGAAGACACTTCTCATACAGCCTTTTCCATTTCTAAATGCAGGGGGTAGGTCAATAGTGCTGACTTGCCATGTGTGTCAGCAAACCTGTAGTTTGGACATCCTACAGTCTGTATCACACAGTAACTTAACAAAGAAGTAAATTCAAGAAGTAAAATTGCTTCTGCACAAAATATATATGATAATGAAGTGAAGAGATATTACAACATAATTCACTCATGGAAACAACCCCCCCTGCCTCTTTTCTTGGGGTTAAATAGCAAGATCGAGGAAGAGATTGCTCAAATGCTCTGCAGCAGTCACATCACCAGTATTAAAAGCACAAAAATGAAGATCAGGAGGACATCACCGTTATAGGCTTCTTCCCAAACAAAGGCACAAAGAAACACAATCCCACTTTCTAAAGTACTCAGAAGTCTTGTGTGCTGATGACCTCCACAGAAGTCAGTCAACTCCTGTGTGCTTCAGCACCAGCTTCAAAATATTGCCTCAGCTGCTCATTTCAGCTCCTCCAGTGTGACAGGGACACAGCGCTACCTACCCACAAGCTTACAAAAGCCTCCTCTCTCTCATCAGACAATACAGGGGTAACTCATATTTAAATGATGCATTTCTGCAATAAGTTTAACAGATGCTGTAAGTGAGACTATGAAACTCCTACGAAATTGCACCTGTTAGCATAAGCCTGCACCATACCTATTCATCTCTTCTGAGGAAGGAGGAGGAAAAAGAAAGCCTGTGTCTCTGGCTGATTAGACAGAAATTCCCTCCACCTCTATTACACACGTTTGCTTCCAGATTACCTAAAGCCATGGTAAAAAGGCTGGATTCACAAACGTCTTATCACCACCACACAACCTACAACCAGCACCCCATGTGTAGTTTGACCCCCCCCCCCCCCAAAAGAGCACCTCATGGAAACCCAGCCATCTGCTTCAAAGGAAAGGCCAGCAGAGCCCTCTGAGAGCCTGATGCCTCCTCAGCCCTTAATTATTCATAGTAAAGCTTTTCTTTTCCAAACCTATGCTCCACTAAAAATGCTGATGCTACTTGGCTCCAAAACTTGAGGCATGGCTCATTCTTGCTCTCTGATAAACAGGAGCATTGATGCAAATCTCAGAAGCTAAGCTGCAGCAAGGTCTTTCCTGAAGATGCTGAGACTCTGGAGACAGAAATGTCCCTTGGAAATTTCCCCCAGGGATCAGCCAGGAGATGTTCAGGCTCTGGTCTACTCTCAGCGCCCTTTTTCCCAGGGGAGGAAGGAGGAGGAATGAGCCATGTTAAAGGTTATGCAGGCTTCAAATAAAACACTGCTTATTCTCTGTTGAAAAGGACCACTGGGGAGTCCTGCAGGCCCTGACAAAAAACACAGCCCCATTCAGTCCAAAGATACACAAAGCACCCAGCTAAAGCCTGTGGAAGGTGCACTTAAGCCTTCATTAGCAAAGGAAGCACCAAGAGACTGAGTACCTCTTCCAACAGCAAACATCAGCTATATGTTGTTTTTGCCACCCATGTGTGTCCAGCACATATCCTCTGAAGAGGGACAGAAACTTACATTTCTCCAGCTGAAGGGAAGGAGATAGGAAAAAAAAGAAATCATGGAAAAAAGCATGCTGGAGTGGTAGACCTTTCTTTGCAAGGAAAATACCTTCTCCTCTCGGTTTTACCCAGCATCCAAGCTTCTTGGCTTTGCCAAGTGTTTCTCAGGGCGGGTCTCAGCACAATGAGAAGAGGAAAGGGCTTTGGATACCTTCTCCCATGCCAGGACCTAGGTATCAATAAGACTGTAGGAAATCACAGTCCTGCCTCCAGCTTACGGTCCCTCTTCCCACCACACACAGCACGGGCCACCCTGCCATCCTTTTTAATTCTCATCTCCAATGGCACAGAAAAGAATTGCTCCAAATCCATTTTATAGAGGCATTTGTTGGGGAAATAACAGCCAAGCCTCTATTAATTATTCTAGG